ATTATTTTTGAGCATTTGCAGCCCGGTGAGGCACAAGAGACCTTTGTCATCCCTGCTAGTTTAATTTTGGACCTGGGTGACTCTTGCAAATGCAGTGGTGCCTGAGCTCATACTGACCCAACAGACAAGAGCAGCGTTACCGGCTGGGCTGGTACAAACGTGCATTTCCCAACATAGCATCAGTTTGCGTCCCTCCACACGTGCAGAGCATAACTGTATTTTCCATAGCAATTTTATCAGCACTGTGGGGGCATTCCACCCTGAAAGGGGAAGTTAAGAGGAGTCCCTAACAGCGCCTTTTGCCTTGCGGGTTAGCCTCCCTGCTTCTGCCCTTTGGCCCGTCCTGCTCCTTTCTGAGCCACTGAAAATGGAAACCTGGAAAGTTTGTCTCAGGGTTGTTTGGTGCATCCCCTGCCCATCCTCTTTAAAAAAAGAAGAAAACAGAAAAAATATACAAAAAATAATAAAATAAAGCCCAGAGTAGAAAATCCAGTCGCATCCAGAGTGCAAGGCTGTGGGCGGTCAGCAGCCGCAAATGCTGATGAGCAGAGACTACAAAACCAAAGAAAGCTCCCAAATTCCCGTATTTGTTTTGCAGGCTGCCAATTTGCCGTACTCACCCCCCCTTCCTGCTCCTCCTCCGAGCCGTCCCCCTCTTCCTCTGAGGAGTCACTGCCCTAAGGAGAGGGAAAACCAAGCCGTAGCGGGGCTGGTGGGTCTCCATTGGTGTCATGAGCGCGATGGTCTCAGCCCATCCCTGCAGGCCAGTGGCAGATGGGGCGCAGACCATGCCCCCGTCTCATTTGGGCCAATATCTCCGCATTTGGTGGGCAGCGAAGCATTGGCAACTCCTCCGAAGCACCCACCTGGTACCGTTGCTGCGGGGGATATACGTAGGCATATCTGTACAGGTAATACCGGTGCCTGTTCTTGAACACCTACCGGGAGAAGAAGGGGGTAAATCCCATCAGTCTGGGAGCTTGGCTACAGGAGCGACTGAAACGTCCTCAAGGCCAGCACCGCGTGGGGCTGGACACGCAGGGTGGGGGGAGA